CAGCAGCCGCTCCCCAGTCAGTCAAGCCCAGACTTGCCTTGTTCAATCATTAGTCCTGCTTGTCTTACACCAAACACAACAAGCCCCCCCTCCCCCCCTCAGCTATGCATCCCTGTTGACCCATCACTAACCGACTGAAACCAGGAGGGAGGACCAGACCATTTCATTAAGAACAATAAAACACATGCAATGTGGGAGAGCCGCATTCCACAGCCCATAATTAGCCTGAACACTGGAAATGTGAAGAACTGATTGTGTTCTAGTTGTACACCCAGAAGTGTTTGTGACATTCAGAAAGACTCATAAAAATCCAACATTTTTAAACATTGAATGACCAATCTAAAGTGAAGTTTTAGGAATATCCTTGGATGGTGAATGTGCAAATTGACACCCTGTGTAAAAGTGCAACAAGAGATTTATTGGTCAGAATTCTGCATGAATTTAAGGCTAAATTGTCCCATATCTGCAAATATTTATGTACATTAGAGCATGTAGTTTTACATTCTGAAAGACCAGAGATATCTATGATTTAAGAGTCACAGGAAACAAATATTTTTATGACAAAAGCCAGAAACCAAGAGTACATGCACTTTTTGTTGTTTATCAGTTAACAATGCATTTTAAATTTTAATAAAACAAAAAAAAAGTCATATTCCAACAATAACCATCCAATTAATGAAGTATATTTGTGTGAAATGGATGGAGCCAGCCATGGTGGGCAACATTAACTAAAAAGTTAGCTGTGCTAACCTTAAGGAGCTAATCATAAGCTTAGTTCCGCTAACGCTAAAGCGCTACACCAATGCAGTACTTAGCTAAGCTAAAATTCCAAAACACTTTATTCAGTCATATTGATATCTACCATAAAATACTGATATTTAAATTAGAGTATTTAGGGGAAGCAAAACATGCTAAACATTTTGAATGCAAAAGTGCTAAGCAAAACATTAGCACTGTGATTAGATTATTAGCAGATTAGCATCACTGGAAACAATAAAATCCTACAAACAGACGTTTAGACTAAAGCTCATTTTTTAAAAATAATTTAGAGTTTTGGACCTGATTGCTGTGTCTGCATCAGCTCAGAAATGAAGGCAGCGCTATCAAAGCTTGAACTTTATAATGTATAAATTCTTTATGTTGCTAACTGCTTTGCAATGTGCATTAAACTTGTTTGGGAAACAGAACTGCTGCAGGAATCCGGTTTTATAAGTCTGGAAAATTTTGTCCTGATTCTATCATCAGTAAATATTTTCCAGGTTCAAAAGCCAAAACGTTGTTCACATTCAGACAAGTTTAGCCTCTAGCAAACAAAGCATTTTCTACAGAGAGGTGACAGTGTCTGATCACATGACTCCAGAATCAAGATAACCAGAAAGCAGGTAACCACGCCGCCTCCTCGCCATCTGAACACTTTTTGAGCGCAAAGTTGCTGTGAGAACTCTTTGTTCCTGGTTGTCTGACTAAATGTTCTTTCCTGTCTTTGGTTCTCGGTGAGCGTTCCATGAAAACGTGTCTGTAGAGACTCAAACCGAGCAGGAGGGAGGAGAGAAGGCAGAGCCGGACGGATGAACGGAGGATCACCTTCAGAGGCTTCAGAGGCATCCAGGGAAAAGGTATTGTTGAAGTGATTGCTAATGAGCCGCGTGTGTGTGTGTGAGGTGATGAGAACCAGTGTTTAGGACAGCTGGAGGGCGATGAAGAGGCTTTGCCTCCAGAGATGAAGATGAAATGAGTGTTTGTGGGGAGGATGCCACTTGGGAGTTTCTGTGTTTTACTTTGTGCAGATCCGGTCCGATTCTCTCAGGATTTACGTTTATTCCTGCAAAACATCTGAAAGAAAAGCTGATGGCACAAAAACTGAAACCTGAACATCAACACCAAGGTTTGGGTTAAACTGACTGATTATGCTGAAAGGAACTCGCCTATTGCAATGAAGAGTCGGCTTGATTATTCTGGGATGTTTGTGAATTTAACTGATGAAATGCCTGAAAAAACAGAATCGTCGTGGTAAAATTGGGCCTCTGTCTCTTTAAGAACTCCTGCTCTTTCTGAAGCTCCGCCTCCAGGAAGTCGTCCCAACATGGCTCCTCTATTAACCCTTTAATGTTTTTACCAGCAGCTCCTATAATGAGCTCAGCAGATGTTTGCTAATTGCTGCTGGCTAGTCTGAAGGAACTGAGTGGGGGAGGAGCTGAGCTTCGAAGGCGGGGCTAGGTCCACCTTAGCGTTTTAACAGCTGAATGGTTGCCATGGAGACAAAAGGATTTCTCAAACATGAAAGAATCAAAGCATCGCAACAGGAAAAACATGAGAATACGATGAAAAGATTAAAAAATAGATTTTAAATGATACTGGCCCTTTAAAACTTTGGATCTGCAATGAATAACATCCATTATGTTTTACTAAAATGTACCATTTTATTTATTTGTCTTTTTAATTTACTTAAAATAATTAGTTTGTGATGTCATGTTTTATTATTCTATAAGAAGGAAAACGACACAAAATTCCCATTGAGTCGTCGAATAAACCTTAATCCGTGTGTGTGTGTGTGTGTGTGTGTGTGTGTGGAGGGGGGTCCGTCAGTGTCAGCCCAGCTGGTGTATGGGGTCCCACTGGGAGAATGGGGGGGTATAACGTTACTCTGCCATGGCGGCTCATCAGGCAGGTGTATGCCGCGGATCCCTCTGTCACACACACTTCACCTGACAGCAAGGCTGCTGATGAGTCTGAGTGTGTGAGTTGCAGTGAATAGAGGGGCTGTCACCTGTCGGCCAGCTGGCAGAGTCCCGTTTCAGGTAAACACGACTCCTCCACGTCCAGCATCCCTGAGGAACCCCACAGCCCGGGTTCAACCCCCAAACTAAAACTAAACAAGTGATGAGATGAGATGAGGAGGAACGAGAGGAAGAGGAGGAGAGATGATTCCTCCTGAAGGCAGGAAACAGGAAGATGAAGGCCGGATTATTAATCAAATAAAAATATTGCAGATTTTTTTATCTGCACTTAAACCTTTTTTATACAATATTAGAAATACGTAAAAAATGAAATAATTCAGAGCAGAACCAGCAGAACATCTGCTAGCTTAGCTTTTTTCTAACGATGCTAAAATGTAGCTACAGCTACCTTATTCAAGCTTATTTAACTTAGATGGCCTATTTAAAGTAACAAGAGGTTGTCAGTGATATCAGTGGCCTCCTGCAGCAGGATGAGCAAAATGACACATTATTTAACATTCACCTGATTCATCTGGTCAAATATTTTTCATCCAATTTCTAATTTTATCAACTGAGAAAATAAATTTGACCAGAATCTCAAACATTTAATACAAATTTTCACCTCTTTGCTGTTCTGCTTCATGCAGTTTTATCCAGAGCAATGCTTTCTGTGTGTGTGTGTGTGTGTGTGTGTGTGTGTGTGTGTGTGTGTGTGGTCAGTGATCCAGGAAGAACCAACATGTTTTCTGATTGATGACTTTAGAAAACCTGATTTAATCAACAGCAGGTTGCAGGTTTTACCCAGAAATACTCCCCTGGCGCCATCTAGCGGTCATCGAAGGAACTAACATTTATTTTATGTTTTACATGAAGGAATCACAAAAACTGGGAAGTTTTAGGAAACTTAAAAAATGGAAAAATGTGATTATTGCTTTGATCAAACATCTTAATTTAACTCTGCAGACGGAGAAAAATGTTTAGTTCATCTGGTGAAGTTGGACTGGAGATATGAATATTAATAGTGTGTGATGCTAAATATTTAGTATTGATCCGATGGGCCAGTGTCGTTGATATCAATACTTTGGTTATAAATATAATAAAGCTAAAAAATAATCAGACTTCTGACCTTTAGATGATTTTTTTTTTCTTTGAATTATTTTTGTTCAAACTTCAGACAGAATTTGGAAACTGCGATAAATAAAATAATCTAAAACTGAAGCATTGATTTTACCTCGCAAGCATTGATTAATAGCTTCAGTATTTTGGATCAAATCAGTTTTGATTTGCTCTCAAATATTTTTTGCATGTTTTCCTAAAAGAAAGTGCACACAAGTTGGTTTTATTTCTCTATTGTTTCAGTTTATCATGTTAATAGATTAAATTATTTTTTAAAAAAAAACAGAAAAATGCCTGATGATGAGAAGTTTGATGCTGTATCAAACTTAACAAAATGTATCGGTATATCGGTATCGGTGATACTGATCCTGATTTAGTTTGTTAGATTGAACCAAAATGTTCAGCATTTCTCACCTCTGGCCTCCAGAGTTCAGTTGTTAGTGAGAAACAAACAGGAAAAGTCCAGTTCAGCTGTTAAGTAGCTAAAACGCTACAATATTTAATATAACACGAAGAAAAACAGTTTTAACAGATTTCACAGTAATTCAGCTTTAAGTTCTTCATTCACAGGATGAATATTTACCACAGGATATAAAAACATTTCATTCATGATATGAAAGGCTGTAACTGAACCTTAACTCAGCCACTAAAAGGATTTCCAGGCAGGAAGTGAGAACCTGTGGAGGATGAAGCGAAGGCACTTTTCATCAGGCCAACTCCGCTTGTCATGTTCCGCCTGGCCGCTGGGGGGCGCTGTGACGTCAGCTTTACAGTAAAAACTACCATTTCCCGACAGTTTAACTTTGCTCCTTGTGTTCAGGTGTGAATCCATGTTTTCTAGGAAAACGTGGAAATTTTAGTTTGAAAAGTAAAAGAATTGATAGAAAGAACGTAAATTTTCACAAACAAACAAAAAAAAAAACAATAACATTTCTAAGTTTGAAAAGTCAAAAATTGTCTATAAAATACTCTAATTTTGAGATTAGAAAGTTGGAAATTTCTGATTTTGCAATGTTGCAAATTTGCTAGAAAAAAAACTGAAATTTTGAGATTAATCACAGAAATTTTCCAGAAAAAACGGAGAATTCTCAGAAATTTCCAATTATTTTCCCGCCAAAATTTCTGAGATTAATCTCAAATTTTCAAAGTTTTTTTGGCACAATTTTCCTTTCCCCCCTGCAGCGGCTCTGATCCGCCGCACTCTGGTCCTCCTGATCCAGAAGAGATGCATTTGTTCCAGAAGGTTCCTGCAGCGCCACCAGGAAGCGGATATCTGACCCGGTTCTGGCGCTCAGACCCGGTTCTGGCGCTCAGAGCAGGTGTGCGTTCAGGTCGTACTTCTCACAGAACTTGTCTGTGACCGGGACGCAGGTGAGGAACTCGCACCAGTCGCATTTTAGCGGGTAAACGTAGAAGAGGACGGCCAGCGCGGCGAACAGACCCAGGAAGACCAGCAGGAAGCCGCAGATCTGGAGCCGCTTCCTGTACGAGTCGGAGCGGCCAAAGCTGAAACAGGAAGTGGACGTTTACAGACGGAACGGATCCTGGATCCTTTTGGCTGCACTCTGCTGACCCACCTGATGTACGGCAGGAAGGCGAAGGACAGGAAGAAGCCCGACAGGAAGCCGCAGACGTGGGCGAAGTTGTCGATCCACGGCAGCAGACCGAAGGAGAAGAAGAAGACGGAGATGGCGGCGAGCTTGGCGAACGCTCGCCACGGCCGCTCCAGGATCTGCCAGCTCTGGAAAAGCTCCACGAAGAGGCAGGCCAGGATGCCGAACTGGCTGCCGGCGGGACCCACCTGGAGCGGGGGACAGGAAGAGGAAACAGGAAGAGGAAACAGGAAGAGGAAACAGGAAGAGGAAACAGGAAGCAGATCCCTCTTTAGGGCTGGGTACGGCTGGTCAATAAATCTGATCTATCAATAAATAAAATGTTTGCTTTCAAAAGAAAAACGTGAAAATTTTCCACCAATTGTCTCCTGGGGTTGCCGTAGTTGAGAGTGATGTCATCGCAGCCAAAATACAAAAAGATTGAACAGAAACAGTGGAGAAAGTTTAACTGGAACATTTTCTGCTGTTTGTCTTCGGGATGAAATCTCAACAAAACCTCCAGTTGGTGGATTTAATGTGAGAAACATGAAGGGTAAGACGTGTGAGGCAGCATGTCTCCGCCAGGCTGCCGTACCTCTGCTCTGTAGGGCAGGAAGATGGCGGAGGCCAGGTTTCCTGTGACGCCGCTCAGCAGGTAGATGATGGAGATCCGGAGCCAGCCGGCCAACTTCTCCAAATCCCTGAGAACCGACATCTGGAAAAACACCGAGACCAGGCAGTGCAGGACGCTGCAGACACACAGGACACGCTGCAGTCACAGCCTGCCACCAGCTGGAGGCGCTGCAGTCACAGCCTGCCACCAGCTGGAGGCGCTGCAGTCACAGCCTGCCACCAGCTGGAGGCGCTGCAGTCACAGCCTGCCACCAGCTGGAGGCGCTGCAGTCACAGGAAGAAGCTGACCGACCCGGCATGCAGGAAGAGAGACAGCCAGAGGCGGGAGAACTGATCTGGGATCTGTGGGTTGAGGAACGGCAGCAGGCCGCAGACATCGTCCATACAGGCCACCTGGAAAACACAGTGACATCATCAGGTGTCAACCATGAAGCCCCGCCCCCAGTGACACTGCTGAAAATCTGTTTTGTTCTAGCTCCAGTCTGTTTGCCTAGTCAAAGTCCAGTCTGTTGCTGATTTGTGAACGCTAACCTCCAAACCTCGGTCTGGTTCAGTTTGAATGTGAACGCCAAGTGGACCAGAGACCGCTCCAGAAGCAGGAAGTGGACTACAGCGCAGGGGATTCTGGGTAAATACAACCAAAGCTAACATGCTAGCCTAGCGCTAGCAGCAGAAATGGCTCCTGGTCTTCAGCCTAAAGAGAAATCCTCCAACCGCTAAAATCTGACGCCTCCATCTTGTTTCCATCTGGTGAAGAAGGAAGTTGCTCTCAGTGTCTTCAGAGTTTCCTTCAGTGGTTCTTGGTGCAGCGCCCCCACAGGCCAGGAGGGGAACAGGTTGGTTTGACTCAGAGCAGCTGGAGGTGGAGCAGATGGTGGAGTTTTTCTGGTACCTGTGAGCAGAGCGTAGCTTCCTCATGGAAGTATCCGTGCATGAAGTCGCAGTATTCTCTGGACGTGATTTCACACCTGAAACAAACAATTCCTGTTAAACATCCTCATCTGAAAACCTGAAGCCATCTCTCTGTTTGTTTTTGAGGAACCGTGTTCTGGATCCAGAAGGTTCTGTGCCGGTCGGGTTCTCACCGTCCCTTGGTGCCGATGCAGCAGGGCCGGCCCGTGATGCTGCAGTCGATGTGAGGCAGGTTGGTGTGGTTCCCAGAATCCAGCTTAGTGCAGATCTACAGGTCCGACCAGAACCAGGAGGCAGAATCAGACATCATGCAGACATAATAATAATAATCGATGTGCTGGTCGTACCGGCCACTGTGTGATGTCGTCGCTCCACTCATGCGGTGAAACTGAAGCGGGTTCTTGGCAGATTCTGCGCGTTCAGCAGAAACAGTGAAGGTTACAGTGAATCTGTCAACATGTTGAACTTCAGCTTCGACTTTCTGAGGTGTAAAAATAAAACATCCTGCAGATGAAACAGAACCAGCCTAACAACTGAAACGCTGCAGTTTTCTGACTGTGGAGGAGTACTGGCCCGGTTCGGTCCAGTGAACGTCACACAAAGCAGCCCCAAAGCCTCATTCCTCCACCGCCGTGCTTTGTGCTGAGGGAAGGTTTGGGTTTTCATCAGAAGTTTTGACTGATGATTTCATCTTTTATTTTACTGCTGGCCTCCAGTGTTTCTCCTCCAGAGCAACAAAACTCAGATGCTAAGACCTGCCGACTCCAGAACCTGTTCTGTTCCGGGTCACCTGGGGTCCTGGTGGCAGACTGAGCCGTGTTGCCGTGGTTTCCCCTCTAGATATGGAGCGCTGGCGTGTTGAGGCCACTTCACCCAAACTGCCAGGGTGTTCTGCAGACAGACACACTTCAGATTGCCAAGCAGCTTCAGTCTGAGGGAACCTGAAAGCATCGCGGAGTTCTTCCACCCACCGAACATTCCTCCTGCAGCGTCTGCAGGCAGCCGGAGCGGTCGTTCCGGACGCAGCAGCCGGATTGTCGTTCTCTCACCTTTGTCTCCTCAATCAGCTGCTGGATCTCTTCGTCTTGACGCATGCATGGAGAAAACTTCGCACCCAGGTGGATGAGCGCCTCCTGCAGGACAGCAGGTAGAAACATTACAGTTTGGAAAAGCAGACAGGAAATAAAAACTTAAAATAATCTTCAACGATGTTCTCTGCAGGGAGAAATGTGTAAGCCTTCAGATCTCAACCATTAACATGAAACTGAATTCTACAGTCGGTCTGTTTCCTCCTCAACATGTTCATCATAAAATGTTTGGATTATTCATGTTCACTTTCAATAATCTGCTTGAACTTTTTCAGAATTTTCCAAACTTTTTAAGAATTCTTTGCTTCTGCAAAATTTTTCAGTTCTAATATTTGTTCAGCAACTTCAACATTTTTATCTTCCCTCCTGTTAATATAATTATTTCTTAAAGAGTTTATCAAAACATTTTAATTGTTTTGTTACAGTTTCTGAAAGCCGTTCAGTGGTTTGGTTCTTACCGAGTTCGGACCGACCCAGAAGTTCTGCTGCTGCACAAACTTCACGTTTTCATAAACTCCCTTATTTCTCAGCACCTGGAGGGAATCGAAGGCGAAACATTCAGAGGAGAACGATTATGGACAGATTATTACAGATTATAATCCGGCTCACAGAGTCGACGGTCTCGTGCTGCGTGAATCCGAGCGGCGCGATGCCGTAGATGGACACGGACAGGACGGTGACCAGCAGGTGGACGAAGGTGATCCAGTAGCTGAAGAAAGGCCTGAAGAAGAAAACATGACGGGTCACAGAGCCGGCTGACCTTTGAACCCGGAGCAGAGGTCGAGCAGAGGTCGTGCCTGTGGTCGTCCATGTCTTGGATCTGCTTCTGGACGAAGCTGTCCAGGCGCTGGCGGTAGGTCCGGTTGGTGAGTCGGCCCACCATGCCCAGTCCGTACGGCCTCTTGTCCCGGGCGAACAGCTTCTGGACCGGCGCCGCGATCCTGCGCCCGCGCCGCTGCGGCCCGCTCGCCGCCTCCTGCTGCAGCAGCGTGCCGTCCTTCGCCTTCCGCCAGCCTCGCTCCAGCGGCCTGCGGAGACGGAGGAGGGAGTAGTCATGGAAACGCTCCGGTTTACCTGTGAGGTCACACTCTGGCTCAAAACTCCGCCCACAGCATCAGGTGAGTCCGCTCCAGCTTGGTCCGGTCCACAGCACTTCCTGGCGGAGCGTTTCCTGTCGAAGCGTTTCCTGGCGGAGCGTTTCCTGGCGGAGCGTTTCCTGGCGGAGCGTTTCGTCTCTCGGCGCCGGGCTCCAGCCGCTGCAGGTCGGTCTCTGACGGCGTCTCAAACACGTCGTCGGCGTAGCTGGACGTCTCTTCCTGGAAACCGTCCTGCAGAGGAAAAAATGAAAAACATTTCTGATTTATTTAATACCAAATCAGATTTATTTTTTCTTCACTTTCTTTCCTAAAAAAATATTATAATTTTTAAAAAGTGGATTTTATCTCAATCCTCAGAAGACGGAGTATCAGGAAAAGCTATGAGAATTTTTGTGTAATTCCAAAAATAAAGTTATAATATTAGCAGAATAAAGACCCAATTTTACCAGAAGAACACCTTAACGTCTTGCATTAAAGAAAATCAAGGTTTTATTAGTTATCAGGATCTGATCTGACCAGTTCAGTCCGTCTGGATTTTCCTCTGAACAAACTCAGTTATTTGGAAAACAGTTTAAATTCCTGGTGACATTTTGCTGCTGACGTTTTCAAACATGAAATATTTCTTTGCCTGTAAAACTGATGCCAACGTAGAACATCACAAAATGCTCCACATTCATCATCAGTTTATTCATCTTTGTGCAGCAGTTACACATTTATCCTCCTAGTATTACGACTTTATTCCTGTAAAATTAATCGGTCTCATCCTGACCACAGCACTCACCGACCTGAACGCAAAGTCCAGATTAACAGAACGCTTCGCAAACAAGATGGCCGCCCTGAGCGATGACATCACTACAGAAGCCCAAAGAGTGGACTGGTGGGATAAAATCCAGATTTTTCAAAAGTAAATCTTCAAAAACCAAAAAATGTATTAATTAATAATTGATTTATCACCGAGTCTCCATATGAAAATCCAACAACTGAGTCTGAGATCAAACAAAGTTTTTAAATCGGCTTTGAACATCAAAAAGTTTATATTATTATTCACATTTTTAACTCCTGCTTGGGGAATAAATGAGTGTTTCTCACTCTGCTGAAGAACGAAGTGTCCAACTCGTCCGGGAAATCCGTCGTGTCGTCGTCATAGAAACTGGGAGGCATGAAGCTCCGCCTCCGCCTCCCGGTGCCGCCCTCAGCCGCCGTCCGACCCTGAAATCAACAACAGAACCCAGTCAAGACGCAGGGTCAGAACCAGAACCGGACCGGACCGGAACCGGACCTGAGACGGACGTTAGCAGAGTTAAAAAATCTGTCAAAAACAATTATTCAGAGTTTGCGTTTGAAAAAACTCCTGGATTAGCAGCTCATGTGATGGAAAAATTAAACTGAAATATTTTTCTTATTAACATCAGAAAGTTGTTGGAACAAATGTTGAAAAATAAGATTTAAATAAATATCCCTGTGCCGTTACTGGTGCATGTCTGATGCAAAGGCTTTCTAACACCTTTCTCATGTCACGACTCTGAAGACCGAAGGACGCTGTCAGCAGGTTTAATGACAATTAAAAGGTTAAAACTGAAATCAAGACAAAAAATACAATAAATATGTGATCATATGCAGCATAAAATACAATACATTCAATTTCTACCGAACATCACATCTATATGCGTACATCTAGGCTACCAACTGCGCACCCAATAACCTCGCATCTAATTAATATAACAAACGTACTCTACCTTAAAACAACACATTAGAGCGTTATCTCCAGACAGAAACAATGTTACAAAGTTACAAACTTAATACGTACCGACAATGCAACCATACATGAAAGATTTCAACAGTAATTTACACCAACAGTGTCTATTTCTACCGTTTAATAAGTTTTGTTTCGAATAACAAAACACTTGCTAAGTTGTAGTACCTGACAATAACATGAGAGGGCAGGCTTTCTCCCTATTTTCTTGTATAGTACTTAAAAAAAACAGCATTTATAACTTCAAAACAGAACAATCCCTTTTAAAGACAGAAACAGAAGATTGCTACCGATCAGGAAACACGGTGGTGGCAGTATTATGGCTCAGGTTTGTTTCCAGCATCTGGATGAGGAAAGACTCAAAGTTTTAATAAACTTCAAACTCTGATCATTAATTTATTTTCATTTCCTAAATGAGCAATAACCAAAACCAAGCTGGATCTAGTAAAAACTGTAGCTGTATTTATTAATATTATTAACTTTTAAAAAGGATCCAGGACTAGTTGAACATGTTGCCTAAATATGTTGCAGTTTTCCGATTACCTAAAATATTGCTGTTTTTGATAAGCCAAAACTCATAATTACTTCAAAAATGTACGTCTTTTGTTATATTTGTCACCCATAGAGGACGCCATTTTTCACCGCTGGGTTGATGACGTCATCAGGTCCGTTCTGTGCTGGAGTCTACAGAGTAAACAGGAAGGCTAACTTTACCCCAGTAGATGTTTATCATATTGCGTTTGACTGGTGTCATTTTAGATAAATCCACACTGTGTCACTATCGGCTGTAATTATAAAATTAAAATTAAAATTGAGACAGAATCTAGATAATTTCCCACATGAAAGAAAAGAGAGCGCAGTGCGAGAGCCGGAGCGGAACCCAACAAGGACCTGATCTGGACCCTGGACATTTCTGGTCATTCATACCAGCAGAACTAACGAAGCTAACAGGTGATCGTTACCATAACGAGCTAAAAATAAATATCGTACTGCCGCTGAGACAGGCAGAGCTAAACGCTCTTTAAGATGCTAACAGGAGCTTTACAGCCTGCGATACTGACATCACCGATCCGACCGGATCCATGGAGGTCCGGGGTCGCTGTTACCACCACACCGAACTATAAGCAGCACAGCTGTTAGCCATTACTGCTGGAAATGCTAACGGAGCTATTACTGCTGGAATGCTAACGGAGCTATTACTGCTGGAATGCTAACGGAGCTATTACTGCTGGAAATGCTAACGGAGCTATTACTGCTGGAAATGCTAACGGAGCTATTACTGCTGGAAATGCTAACGGAGCCATTACTGCTGGAAATGCTAACGGAGCCATTACTGCTGGAAATGCTAACGGAGCTATTACTGCTGGAATGCTAACGGAGCCATTACTGCTGGAAATGCTAATGGAGCCATTACTGCTGGAAATGCTAACGGAGCTATTACTGCTGGAAATGCTAACGGAGCCATTACTGCTGGAAATGCTAATGGAGCCATTACTGCTGGAAATGCTAACGGAGCTATTACTGCTGGAAATGCTAACGGAGCCATTACTGCTGGAAATGCTAACGGAGCTATTACTGCTGGAAATGCTAACGGAGCCATTACTGCTGGAAATGCTAACGGAGCCATTA